GGGAAGGGAAGGGAAGGGGAAAGGGGAAAGAAAGGGGCAAGGCAAGGCAAGGCAAAGCAAAAGCCCTCTGAGAAAGAAGCTCCTTTAGGCAAGAAAATGTTTAAGATGACTGTCACCAAGAGAGGCAGGCGCCAACCTGCAAGATGCATGAAATAGTTCATCTTCAGGACTCACACTCTTGGAATCATAGAGTCATTTAGGTTGGAAAAGACCTCAGAGAACACTGAGCCCAACCATCAGCCTGGCACAGTCCCATCCCTACGCTGTTAATGCCATGTCCACGCATCTCTTAAACACCTCCAGAGACACAGACTGCAGCCCTTCCATATCTGCCTCCATGCTGAAGCAACACAGCAGAATTCCCTTCCACTCTGCAGCTGCTCCCAGCTAAGAGCTTTGGAGATTGATGAAATATCAAAGTGAAACACAGATAGAAACAATTTACTGCAAGTCTGCTGCACTACAGAGTCAGTAGATATTAACCCTTGGAGATGACCCATCAGAGATTTCATGTTTAATTGGACTTGTGTTATCTTCCCCTTCTTTAGAATGGAGAAAGAAAAAAAGAAAGGGTTGAAGAGCTTTTTTTTCATCCCCTTATTTCTTCCTTATTACAGAGGCTATTTCTCCATCTTGCTAAGAAGGATTAAACGCCATAGGAAAACATCTTTGGCAAGAAGCAGTGAACAGGAAAGTTGAAGAGTTTTTCCTTGGGTTAATAGAAGAGCTGCTGTGAGACCATCCAGGCATGCAAAGGGGAAAAAGCATGCTGCAGATTCCCTGTGCAATCCTGCCAGATGCTGGGAAACTGGGGAGGTAGAAGCTATAAAAACAAACTCAGGTGTTTCACTGCTTACTGCTGCAAAACCTGGAGCTGCTTCACAGTGAAACACAAATAGCACAAGGACACAATGGGAATTTGCCACTGACTGCAGCTTGGCTGAGGATGGGAAAGAGAGAGGATTGTTACAAGAGAATGAAACAGGAAGAGAGGAATAAAGGTATTCTGCAAAGGCAGAAAAACAATTGAGTGGATGCATTTATGCTTTGCTCCAAACAAAGCAAGACAAATGGAAACAATCAAATCCTCACCCCCTAAACAGTATTTCTCCCAACCCCCCTCCCCTCCCCCAGTTTCCTGATGGCTTGCTTAGAAAAGATGAAGACATCGATGATTTAGGAGTGAGCATAAAACCACAGACTCCCTGTGCCCTGCAATGGCCCGGAGGGCAGCTGGTGACATTCCCAGGGAACGTTTTCCCTGCCTCAATCAGTTCAGCACCTGATAGGGCACATCAGATTTACATTTCCCAAATCCAAAAAGAGACATTCAGATTTGTGAGAAAGCAAAGCCCAGCTTTGTGCTGTTGGGCCTCTCGTGCATATATTTAGGGGAAAAAAACCAGAGAAAATCAAAATGTGGTGGTTTCCAACATCTGAGTAAGATGGAAAGCCAGTGCTGAGAGCAGTAATTGCCCAGGGATATCCTTCCCAAGGGCAATCTATGGCAGTTCAAATTCTTCTTGGGTACTTCCTTCTGCATAAGAAGGGCTTAAGAATGTCGCTCATCCCAAATCCAAGCACAAATCTTGGGCACTTTGGTGATGGATATCAGCCAAGCTCAAAACCCCATCCTTCAGCAGCCCTTGAGCTGCTCGACATCACAGCTGAGGTTAAAGTTTGATCCTAAGGGAGGCCACAGCTTTTGGACAATTGGCCAAAACCCAAAACTGTACTCAGGATGTGGATTTGGGTCCCAACCTTCTCAATGGCTTGCTGCAAGCTCTCCATTAAGGTGGTTTGTGGCCCTTTTTGAGACTAGAATAAGTGTACAGCGAAACACAACAAATGCCCAATGGCCAGAGACAAGACATGTTAACAGGTTTACCCGAAGCTCAAGGCACCATCACCCTTCCATGTCAACAGAGCTCTCCTCAGACTGGCAATTCAAGGACAATATTCTCATCCTGGCTTTCCATTGGCAGTTGCCAGGGTTGAAGCTGTTTCTGAGCTGACAGCTCCTGGCAATGCAGACGGCCATTTCTAACTTCATTCCCTCCAAAACTTGACAGCATCACATCCAATTTATATTTAAAACCTAGAAGTCGCAAGCAGATGGGAAGAAAAGTTCTTTATCTGAAGAGCATTTAAGGGGATGCCAGAAAAATCACAACGCTCACTCGAAAGCACTTGATATTCATCAAGGCTCAGCAATCCTTACTGCCATCACTGGTTTGTCTCCCTGTCCTTCCTAATTAAGAGCACCACGTTGGTAGGTTAATGGATAACGCAACAGGCAGCTCCTGTAATGGGCTCTTGACATCCTGCAAGGCAGATGGAAGCGGTCGCCTCTTTCATGGTGCTTTCTCACCCCATTCCTGTGCCTGTTGTGTTTCCTGCTGGTAGCACAGCAGAGCTTCCATTCTCATCTGCACACTGCAGAGATGGCACTCGATAAATGTGAAGCGCTGCAGCTGGGACTGGGCAAACTGCTTCCCCACCTCAGTTGTTTCATTTGGATCAAGAATGGGTCCGAATGGATCAAGGAGTTCAAGAAACATTTAGATGCTGCACTAAGGGACGTGGTCCAGTGGGGAAATATTGGTGGTAGGTGGGTGGTTGGACTGAATGATCTCGTAGATCTTTTCCAACCTTGGTGATTCGGTGATTCTATGATCATCTGAGACATCCAGGACAGTCAGTCCTTTGAAGTAACTCAGTGTGGCACATATTTCCCAAATAGCTTCTACTTTACTGAGCCACTATTCTATACATCACTGCAAGTGGAAGCCCAGGAAAAATACATAATCATTTCATCCTCAGTTAGATAAAACCCCATATCCAGAAAGCACCAACCACCAAGTACCTTCAGGGGAAAACCCAACTTGTACCCAAGGAGTCAAAGAGAAAGCTTTCATATATGAGCCTTGAAGGAAGTTAATATTACTACTACTACTACTAATAATAAAAGACTTAATCAACACCAAATTACTACAGTTCTGTTAAAGATTACTGTGGAAAGAGCTAAGAGATATTCACATCTTTGCAAGCACAGTGCAAACAACAGTTCTCCATAGGAGAAATCCCCACTGCAACTAAAGATTTCTCTCCATACCCAGCATTTGTGATGGAGAGCTTAATTACCTGTGCTGGAAAGCTGCCTGGATTCTCAGGCATTGGTAATGGCCAACGATTTAAACACAGATTTCATGATGCATGGAAATAACTGCTCCATTTATGATTATGGTTTATTTTGGTTGATATTTACGCACTGTTTGAAGAGAGATGTAGAAACAAATGCAACATGATTTCTGGGTATCATATACACGTCTTGCTTTCAGGTGCTATTACTTGAACATTAATTAAATGTGGGAGTGTGCTATGAGACAGCCAGCACCACAGCAGTAAATTAGTAATTTTGGTAAGGTTGCTCTAGAAAGTGCTGTGACATTTCCACTTTAGACACACATCTCAGATACAAATGCAGCAGGGGGAACTGCCTAAAAACAAATTATCTTCCTCCCCCAGAACAGAGAAAGAAGCCAAGAGGGTGCTGACCTGACCCACAACCTACCTGGGGAAGCAGCAGGGAGCAAACAATGCTCAAAGTGGACTCAAAGTTATCTTTCAGCCACAGCCCCACGGCGTGGATGCAGCCTCGCACGTGGATGACATCGAGCAGCTCCAGGCGCTGGAGGAAGGTCGAAAAGAAGCACCAAAGTCAGAATTGAGGTTGTGGGTTTGGATGGGTTCGCTCTGTTCTGCAAAGGAGCGCCATGGCAAGTGTTTGGGAATCCCTTTCTTAGATTGGACTTCTTTTCCCTGGGTTTTCTTGCCAAAAAACCAGTCCCTTTACAGTCACAGTCCACACTGCATCTCTCTGCTGTGACACAGTCCCACAGCCACCCCTGGGGGCCTCACAATCAGTTCTACACCAAAACCAAAACTCAGGGCCAGCGTTTGCCAGGACTGACCAAAGAGAGCTCATTTCTCCCCAGAAGGCCCCACCAAAGCCTGCACACAGCGCCCAAACGTGCTGCGTGCTCACACCCTTGGAGCCCATGCAGGACCTTGGGAAGCCAATCAGTATAAATAGAAATAAATTTGTATACAGCCGCAGCAACAGCTGTCCCCATTGGGAAGAGCCTTCCACTGTGAGGCAGAGCTTCAGGTCATGTTAGGGGTGCTTTGGGAAGGGCTTCACAAGGGTTTCTTGTACAGAAGAAGGAAAAAGCAAAGATTACCTCCTTCTCGAGTGTCCTGTATCCACACAGGGTGTTAATGACTTCTCCAGGGACCTGCAAACAGAGATGGAAACTTTGCTTAATTCAAACCTCCTTTTCTCACATTTTTAGCTGCGCCTCTCCTTCATAACGAAGGGAATTTCACCAGGATTAAATGTATTTGGTTTTCCAGAAATCAAAAAGGAATTTCCCCAAAGCCTCCCAGCACTTCAGGGAGAAACTTTGGGATTTTAGATTCTCCGTGCTTCAATCACTGTTGGCCAATGAATGCATTTCAAGAGCTGCAACTAATGAGAGGAATCCCAGCCAAACTCTGCTGTTCTGGAGCTCTATAAAATGAAATCAGTCCAAATTCTTCTGCTTCCATCAGGATGGAAGGGGTACACTTTTAATGGACTACAACATTTTCTAGCATCGGTTCAAAACCAATTCTTACTCATCCCATGAAAAGCCACGTTGAGGGGGTGTAGCTCCAGCACATCCTGAGCCAGTCAAGTTATTTCGTATCTCTCAGGACTGATCTTCTGATGTTGGCTTTTCATCTGTTTTTGGCTTATTTCATTAGGAAAACAGCATCTTCCATAATGCTGTGAGATTCTAAAGGGGCCTTGCATCCATAAAATAAGAACAAGCTGAAATGATCACACTTTCAGAAACATGGCTTTGGCAACCAGCAAAAGCTCCTGGACAACAAAACAAAAACTTCAGGTGCTTTTGGAGGCACAGAGATGAAAAAGAAATGTGCACATTTAGGGGTAAATTATGCTTTCCTGCAAGACAGGGCATAAAAGAAATGTGCACTTTTTGGTCCCAGCCATAAAGCTGCAGCTTGTTCCTTCTGCAATTGGCAGGGAAATCATCCCAGTGATACTCTACCAAGACTATCTACGTTACTCACAAAATCCCCTCTCTCATCACTTCAGTGCTCTACTTACAGATGAAGGAGACCAATCAGTCCTTGTGCCTACTAAAGGGAATCCAGAGATTGGCAGCAAAGCACCTGCTGGCGTTTCTGGGATGAGGTCCCACCCTGGGTTTGGCCCATGAAATGGAGAACAGGGGTATGGAGAACTTGCAGTTCTCTCACTGCCATTGCCAGCAGTGATACAAAGGAACACGTGCATGATGGAGGATCCATCCATTTCATTTGCATTATAAACAAAGAAATTCACAAAAACCCAACAACCCCAAACCATCGTTCTTGGCAGCTTTCAGCTGGCCTTGCTGCTCACATGTGGACGTCACAGGATCCTTACTGGTGACACAATTGCCTTCTGTAGGGCTCCTCCATTTGAACATCTGGCTGCAGAACAAATTGCCACTTTTCTTCCTTCTTGCATCAAATACTGAAGGGTTTCTCAGTCACCCCCAGTCCTGCCCATCTGTTCCCTCAAGAACTCGCACTGGGGCCAAATGCAGAAAGGAGAAAAGCAATGCTTCGGTTTCGATCAATTTTTTGCCAAGATGGAAGCAAAGGTCAGAGCTGAATGGATATTCCTGATACAAAAAGAGGTGACAGCCCTTATTCTACCTGAATTAATTTTGATGCATCCAGAGGCCCAAAACAGCAGCAAACCCAGACATTTTAAGGCATCCAAGGGCAAAAGGCTGTGATCCCTGCATGCTTTTCATAACTGACTGCTCTTCCCCCCAGACCTGTGCCCAATGTCAGCAGTGACGATTTGAAAGGATTGTGCTTGGCAGAGGCACAGCTACCCACACTTTCCCCACAAGAAGAATAAATGCATAGGAAAATCATTGAGAAAAGTACTCAGAGATGAGGATCCCATCTCAGCCCCCTCAGTAGGTGCATATTTGCTCATTCCTTACTCCTGGGTAGACCTTGGAGATGAGGCTCTTCAAAATAGCAAGAGAAATTTTGGAGGATGTCTGTTCTCATTAATACAACTCAGCCTGCCCTGGGAGATGCCCAAGGAGATGGAATGCAATGCTTTGGAGGGATCTATAATAAGGAAAAGTCCCCCCTCAGAAAATGGGATGGCTTTAGGTCTGCATTCAATGACAGGCTGACGACACATTGCAAATGACCTCCAAATCCATGTTTCAGGCTCTTTCCTCCAGACAAGCTCACAAAGCAGCCACTCAAACAAATGAGCAGTGTACCATGTCCAACAAAAGCTCCCAACCTGCACCTGACACTCGGAAGGGGCACAGAAGGAACATCTGGGATATTGCTGTCTCGTGTTGCCCTGGTTTGTAGGACTGAATTGAGAAGCCTGAGAGCAGAAGGACTGATGAAAAAGCTGTTTGTTTTGCCAGCATTCACTTCAAACAGGCACAGACAAATTCATAGAGGGCCAAGGTAAGATCTTCTTTTCAGCCTTTAAATGCAGTATTTTGGTGGATAGGGATTTGAGCAGGGTTTTTGCATCACTCAGCCCAACCAGCTGTGTCCAACCATCCTCATCCCACAGTGCTTCTCCCACCTCCTCAACCTGCAGGCATAACTCCCATGACAACTTTGCCATTTCAACATATATCTACGTACAGAGCCCTGCTGGAGCTTACACAAGATGCAGTTATGGGGTGTCTCACTTCCCATAAAACTTCTCCACCTGTCAGAGACACTCTCACAAGCTTTAATTGTTGAAGTTAGCGTACAGGATTTGCCATGGGCTTTCCTTCCCAGGGGCTAGCGCGTCCTCCAGATCCGGCTCGTTCAAGTGGGAAGCCAAAAAGTTGCCTATTGAATCAACTTTTTACAAGGGTAGACAGCGATAGGACAAGAGGGAATGGCTTTAAGCTCAAGGAGGGAACGTTTAGACTGGATATCAGTGGGAAGTTCTTCACACAGAGAGAGGTGAGGGGCTGAACAGCTGCCCAGAGAGGCTGTGATGCCCCGTCCATCCCTGGAGGTGTTGGAGGCCAGGTTGGATGGAGCCCTGGGCAGCCTGGGCTGGTAGCAGATCTGGAGGTTGGTGGCCCTGCGTGTGGCAGCGGGTTGGAAATTGAAGATCCTTGAGGTCCCTTCCAGCCCAAGCCATTCTATGATTCTATTACTTATCCCACTACATTCAATATCTGTGTTTTCTTCCATCTCTGAAACAGTTTGCCAGGTGAAGGAGTTTTGTTTCCCAAGTTGTCAAAAAACCCACAGGGAGTGTAAAAATACTGAAAAATGCACTTGACTTTCTCCAACACATCCTCACTAGAAATAAAAGAAAGGACAGGAGATGAATTTCTAATTCCATCTTCAGGAGCTGACAGAGATCCTTAATCAACGCCCTGATTAGAGAAAATAATTATTTTTGCAGCTGATTTGCATGCCAGCCTTCCACTGATAACAACATATATTAAATTTTCCCCTTCTTTCCATTAAAAAATAAATAAAAAGGCCAACAGCAATGCTAGATTTAAGATACATGCAGATATACAAGCAAGTTCTGTACAAGTTCAGAGCTGGCTGGTGTTCATCACTCCATCAGTACTGCAGTCATCCAAAGCAAAGTGCTGGGGGCCCAGGGGTCCATTGCCAGTGTTAAAGAGAGTAAATTATTCTCAGCAATACTGGCAGCATTTTTAGCCACAGCAGCTGAGGATATTCACACTTTTTCTTGCCCAGCTCCTGGCTTTTTTCCTAAACTCTTCTCATGTTTCCTCTTACAGCAAAACTCACAAAACCTCTTTGTTATGAATGTGAAGCCCACACTGCTAAACCCAGCGGCAGCAAGCTGAGAACAGCAAGCCACCGCACAGGAGAGCAAAAGGAAAGGACAACAGCTGATCCCGATCCATGCTGAGATACAGCCAAGTCAGCTGAAGCTGCTGCTCTTTGTCAAATCACCCTCCAAACCAGATGTAAGGTCTGACAGTAGGTAGAAAGATGGGAACTCAGCATTTCAAACATCCTCTCGGCACAATACAGCCCAGTGCTTTGCTATTCACACTACACTAAAGCAGCAGAGCCCACCAAAGCACAGCCATCCCACAATTCAAAATGGCAACACAATTTACGAGAAGCCAGTGCAGAAACCAGCGAGAAGATGGATTTTGCTGAACTAGAGGCACTTTCTGAGCCTTGGCTGCCTTACCTTCCTGATGCAGCACGTGTAGGGCACACCGCATGCAAGTGGTCCGCTGCCATTGCAGGAGTGGTACAGATTGACCTCCCAGTCCCGGTATTCATCACCACCACAGCAAGAAAACTGCAAAGGAAGAAAAGGAAGGGATAAGGCAGGCAGATGAACAAAGCGTGACATTTCCAGCCCACCCGTGCATCTCCCTCCAGCCTTGCATTGCAGCTCTGGTGTTGCTGGTATGAAGAGATCCCCAGTTACTTCTTGCTTTCAAGAACTCTAAGTGGGAAGGGTAAAAACCAGCCAACCAAACAAAAAAAGTGGGTGTTCAGCAGCATTTTAGAGACATGCAGCAGTTAGAGCACTGTGCATACATGTGTTGGAGGCATCACAGCTTTCACAAGCCCAGGAAAGATGAGGCTCATTCATGCTTTGCTCCAGTTGATTTAATTACAGGTGACTAATCCATCCTATTCCCAGGGCATGCAAGAGAGATGCTCTTTCAGTGCCATGAATGAATGCTCAACTAGTTGGTGCTATTTGGCAATATGCTGATAAAACTCCAGCGTCTAACAGTCATTTCTCTTCCCGTCAGGTTAAATTAGACATCAAATCCTGCAGCTACAACCAAAAAAAGCTTCTTTTTCTTCTGTTTGGGCAATAATATTAATAATAATAAAAGTTTAATGAATGTCATATTCTGCTCTCCATGGAATAAAAGTGGGCTTAATATATCCTGAGTCATCCCTTCTTTTGGTAAACAAGCTTCAATCTTAACAATTTTCCCCCTCAAAAGAAAAGCCTGGAGTGGGATGGGGAGGGAGGAGGTGTGTGTGTGTGTTTGTGTTTGTGTGTGTGTGTTTGTGTGTGTGTGTGTTT